CGAACGATATCAAAATTGAGAATGCGATCCAGGGATGAGTTCCATGTAACATTTTGATCCGACCGACCGATCCGAAACTGCCCCCTCGTCTTTCCCGGATAGGTACTAGGGTAACACGGCCCTTGAGAACTGCAGCTGTACCTACAAGTCACCCCATCGGGGAAATAGCACGCGCTAGCTTGTTGCATCAATCCCGCGCACTCACAAAGTAAACTTTTTGAAAGTTTGAGTTTATCGATCATGGCGGACTCCAACAAATATCGGGCTGCGCGGCGGGCAAGAGAGCCGGGCTGGAAGCCGGCAAGTGGGCGAAGAAGAGACGTCGTTCCCGGACGCAAACCGGGCCGGCCGAAAGGTAGTACTACGAAGAAGAAGAGCGCGGCGATACAAGAACAACTACCCGCGGTGGCAAAAAACGAGCGCAGCGGGCGCAAGCCGACAGAAGGTGAAGCCACGGGCGGCAACGAAGAGAGGATGTTGAAAACACCGAAAGTAGAAGAACCGGGAAATGTTCCGAAGAAAGGCGCAAAGGGGAAGGGCTTGGCGGGAATAATAAAAAGAAAAACATCAAAGGCAACGGCGAGACCTACGAAAGAGCGAAAGTAACAAGTCTAATGTTATATATAGTTGTTCGATTGCAGAAACCTATTTCGAGGTCGAAGATGTCACTTTCAAATTCTGTGGACCTATCGGTCAAACAAGCACACACCTCGGTATAAAATTAGCAATTCACGATGACAAAAATGAAGATGATGAGCGAGCAAGGATAAAGTAAAGTGATGACGTTCTACACCAAGAATGACAACACTAAAACACGAACCACGAACATCAGGCCCCTGATTATCCTAGTGATTAGCCTCACAATAATTACGTCTTGAGCTACCCTGATAGGGTGAATTTATACACGACAGCACCGGCGTTCAGAGCACGGGACCACAAATTCAAATACGTATCCGATCACAACTCCGTCGACCTATCCGTGTACATAGAAAACGTCGTCAGAGATCAACGCGGTAACTACGACAGTAGAACTGTAGGGTCACGGTTGTGCAGTTGTAAAGGTGTGCAAGTGCACTTTCACATTGATATTATTTGTTCGAGTTCACAAAGTTCTGCTGCCGGAGCGAGGGGAGACAGACACGAGTGCACAAACATGAGTTGTAAAACCATCTGCTGTCACTGCCGAGTGAATCTCTGAAAAACTACGAAGGCATCACATTTGGAAAGATGAACAAACATGAAGTTGAATTTGAGTGTATACAAGCACGAAACGTCATATCTTTTAGCTTGTGGTCTTCTAACGCACGCAAAAAGGAACCACGTCGACAACTGGAGGTGGTAGTAACATCAAGGGCAATTCGATTTCAGGGAAAAGGATACTTGAAGTCAGTGCTGCCATCGTAGAGCCAGAAACTCAAACTCGCCGATAGTAATTGTAATACAAGGACGCAGTAGAACTATCGTATCTACACTGACAACAGCAACATGACTACATCCCTTGCACTCATTGCATCGACGTCCGGCGACGATGGCGGTAAAGATGCTCGAACTCCAACTCCCGCGGACGAGTCGACACGCATGGTGACTGCTTTGGACCATGTAGAAAGCCGGCTGCAGACGCAAACAAGCCTGATCATCCGCAGGCCGACCCCGGACACTATTTTGGTCACGCTACCCGACTCACTCGCCGAAGAGCTCGTTCGGGCTTGCGGCTCTACGCTCGTGCGCCAAAAGCAGGTCACATCGCTGTTTGCAAGGCCTGCGATAGAACAGACCGCGACCGGCATTGACCAAGGAGATGAACCTGTTGCACAAACTCCCCCAACGACACCAGGGGCGCAGCTGAAGCCAGCACGCACGACCTTGAAAGGACCTTCACAAGAACAACTTTGGGTGACTTATTCGCGGCCCACCGATCATACCGGGAGGAGCGGCCCTGCGTACTTCGCCATCACGACGGCCTCCTGTGTAGTTAGAACTAGGCCAACTTCTTTGCACTCGGACGCGATGGACCGGCATCATGAAATCGACGCCAGCGCAAGAACTACAGATGAGGACGTGGACCCGCTGCTTGTCCCGCTTTCGTCTGCCCAGAAAATGTTGTTGCTGAAGCAGTACGTCGAGGAAATTCTACTTTTGGGTGGATCCTGTTCATCTTCTACGCCTGGAAGTGTGGTATCGGATTCTACTCGAGCTTCATCCCTGGAGCGGGCAGATGCGTCGTGCGCTGTCGGGCCAGCAGCGGCTGCGACGAACGGCCTTCCGGGCGAAGCTTTCGCTTTGCAATCCGTGCCAGAAGGGAAAGTGGATAATAGTGCCGACGACCATTCTACAACCTTCTCCCCCACAGGGGGCTCCACACCGACGACAGACTGCGGCGATTCATGCACGTCGGGTTGTTCCACGCCGACTGACTCTTCCGTCGAGA